CCAGATTCATCAATTCTTTTGAACCAATACACCCAAAACTGTCTTTCTCATCAGGGAATGGACAGAGTACAGACCTCCGTGTGTCTATTTTTGCTTCCAGGAAGCTTGGAGTCAAATTTCACAGCTATAATATTAGGCTTCATGGTTTGCAAGATGGATGGTCCTAAAAAAACAAAAACCGAAAATCAAAAAACAAATTTATTGTCTGAATGCCTTTTATTTTAAGTCATACCCAACCCTTTTTCAAGAGAAGGGGCAACTTAATAATTACTGATTTGCATAGAGCAGAACTCCAGAACTCAGCCTCCTAAAGCAATGAGTCAACTGGCCAAATTTGTAGGGTGTCCACCCACCATTTCTAAGGTGCCCGATGTGGTGCTTTGCTGCTTGTCAGCTGTGGCATCATGGGTATAGTGACTTAAAGTCAGCAAATCTGAATTTAAGTGCACCCTCTCTTAGCCCTTTGACCTTGGGCAAGTTGCCTCACCTCTTTGAGCCCCAGTTTCTTCATCCATAAGTGGCTCCATATTCTTCAGAGAACTGCTGTGAAGACTATAGGATAATGTTGATGGAATTCCTTTATAATTTACAGAGTACTGCAGTGCTAGAGAATGAGATTATATTCACTGTGTTTGTGCCCTCCCCAGAAACCTGGGGAGGGTTTCTTCACCACTACAAGCATTCTGACCACTCATATTTTCAGCATTAAGACAAATTGTTGTCAACAAAATAATATAATCTCCAACATGTATACCAAAGTACCCCAAAGCTTTGCCATGGCCCTTGGGTCCCTTGCAGACTCCTAGGGAGCAACTCACAGGTGTGGGATGTTGGATGCTTCTGCCATTGAGTTCAGATGCCCTTGGGCTGCTCTGCTGATGGAAATGCTCACCAGCCCCTCTCAGGTGGCCTCTGTTACCATTCTCTTTGACTCTACCCTCTTCGTGGACACTGAATTCATTTCCTTGATTTTTAAGCCACACCTCTAGGCTGGTGACCCTCAAATCTGTATCTGCAGCCTGTGCTTCTCTTGGTGCCAAAGACCAGTATCCCCAACTGCCTATGGGACGGCTCCTCCTGGGAGCCCCATGGGTACTGGAAACCCAACGTATCCAAAACCAAACTCATCCTCAAGCCCCCTTCTCCCAGCTCTCTCCTCTTACAATTCCTATCCAGATCTGTCACATCTGCCCCCTCCTCTTCCCTCTCATTGCCATCACTTTGGTTCAGGTCCTCAGCATCTCTTGCTAGGATAAGCCTCCCACCTGGACTTCCTGCCTCCTACCTCTCCTCTTTCTAAACCATGGTCCACATCAGCTGCCAGGCAGATCTTTGAAGATGCTTCCCCGGGGGATTCCCCTGCAGGCCAGTGGTTCGGACTCTGTGCTTTCACTGCCGCAGCCCAGGGTTCAATCCCTGATCAGGGAACAAAGATCCCACAAGCCTCGTGGCAGGCCCCCCCACCTCCAAAAAAGCGACTCTGATTAAGTCAGTCTCTCCTCCTACTCATAAATCTTAAATGCTCCCTGCCCTTGAGGTTTTCTGAGACTGAATCCCCGATCACCTCTCCATTGCCACTTCCCGCCAGCCCCCCTCATGCACGAGTGTTTCCAACCAGAGCAAACAGCTTGAAGTTCATTGACTGACATGCTCTGTCTTACATTTCTGGCTTTCACATGTGTTGTTTCCATTTTCTGGAAAACCCCACTAGTCCTTGCCTGCTTATCCAGCTTCTACTTGTGCTGCAAGGCTGGTCTAAAGCCTCAACTCCTCTCTGAAGCTTTTCTTGACTCCTTCAGACAAGATTGGTGATTCCTACAGCAATTTGTACATAAATCTTTTATCACCTTGCATGCTAATTGTTTACATGTGTTTTTCCTACACTAGACTGTGGCCTTTTTGGGCGAAATGTGTTTGTGATTCATCTTTGTGTGACCACTTCTTAGAACAATGCTGGAAACATGGTAGACTCTCTGAGGATGTTTGAGCCCTCTTGTTAGTGATTTAATTGTCACTACCATTCCTAAAGTAGCAGAGAGCATAACTGAAGCCAGCTTCATAAGATAGGAGGAATACATATAGAACTGTGAAGTCCAATACAGAAGCCACTGGCCACAGGTAGCTATTAAGCACTTGAAATGTGACTAGCCTGAAATGAGTTATACTGCAAAATACACACAAAATTGCAAAGCCTTAGTATTAAAAAAAAAGAATGTAAAGTTTCCCATTAACACCTTTGACACTGATGACCATTGAAATGATCATCTTTTGGACATATCGTGTTAAATAAAATATATTATTAAAATTAATTTCACCTCTGTCTTTTTACTTTTCTAATGTGGTTACTAGAAAATTTAAAACTACACATGCGGTTCACATTTGTGGCTTGCATTATATTTCCGTCAGACAATGATGATCTAGAGCGTTCATTCTGTGAACAAATGTTTCTCGAGTACCTGCTCCATACAGGTGTTAGTCTAGGTGATGGAAATAGAATGGTAAACAAGATAGATAAGGTTTCTGACCTCAGGGAGCTTATATCATAATGAAGAGAGGGACACAGAACAGGAAGCAGACATGTAAACAAGATGATTTTGGACAGTATAAGTAAAGTACTATGAGGAAAGCAAAGCAGGGTACTTGATAGAGAGGGTGGAGGAGGCACAGGAGGGCGGCCAGGTAAGGTCTTCTAGAGCAGGTGAGGTCAGAGGCAGGGAGACAGGGGAGGAGGCTGGCACATGGAAGATAGTAGAGACCTGAACTGAGACAGCAATGGTACAGATAGGGAGACAGACTTGAGAGATATTTGGGAAGTAACAGGAGGACTGTGGTAATCATAGGAGTTCGGGATTGGCCAGAACCGATGCGGACTGCCAGTTTTCTGGATCACCAGGTGAATGGTGGTGCCACCAGATGAGATAAAGCTGGAGTGGTCTTGCGGCAGACGAGGAATTCCATTTTGGCCATGTTGAGGGTGAGGTGTCCGTGGAATGCCAGGGAGCAGCGCTGAGGGGAGACATCAGTGCTAGGAATGATAAAATGGGATCTATTAGCACAGACACGGTCATTAAAACCCAGCATGGATGGGACGAAGTGAGAGAGTGGCATGGACATATATACACTACCAAATGTAAAATGGATAGCTGGTGGGAAGCAGCCGCATAGCACAGGGAGATCAGCTCGGTGCTTTGTGACCACCTAGAGGGGTGGGATAGGGAGGGTGGGAGGGAGATGCAAGAGGGAGGGAGATGTGGGGATATATGTATATGTATAGCTGATTCACTTTGTTATAAAGCAGAAACTAACACACCATTGTAAAGCAATTATACTCCAATAAAGATGTTAAAAAAAAGTTTTAAAAGGGATAAAAACAACAACAATAACAACAACAACCCAGCATGGATGGGAAAGGAAAGAGAGAAGATGGCAAATGGAGAGGACACACAGGTCCAGGGAGCAGTTTTCTAAACTGGATCACACACGAGCATGTGTCTAGGTTGAGGGGAAGGACCCAGGGTGGCTAGAGGGGTTCACGGTATAAGAGAGAAGGCAAGATTGATTCGGCAAGGTTTGGCTGGTGATGGAGGAGTTGGGCTGGCCTGGGAGACTGGCTGGGAGGAGAGAAGGGGTCTCCGACGAGGTATTTGTCCTCGGGGAGGAGGAAAGAGTTTAAGGAGCTGGTAAAGGTTAGGAGTAGCTGTGGAAGAGGATGATGTCCAGGTCACAGGTAAGGACATCACTTGGGGAAGCTTTGGATGTGTCACAGTTTGGGCCAAGGCTTTATCATTATGTCCTCAGAGTTTGAGAAGCCTCCAAGAAGCGCTGGGATAGGGGATTGGGAAAGCTGGCTTTTGAAAAGTTGAGTGGCCCTGGGGCAGCTCAGAGCCTCTTTGCCACTCTTTTCTCTCACCTCTAAAACGAGCTGCTGGTGTCTTCAGCTTGTTAGCAGGTGTAAGGTCACTAAGTACATGTGCTTCCCTTGGTTGCTTGAGCTGTCCTCTGTCTGAAACTCACTTCCCTTCCCTTGCCCAGCCAGTAGAGGACTCCAGGCTCTGTCCCAGGGGCTGTCTGAGGTCAAGCAGCCAGGACAGACTTGGCCCGCATTATTCTCTGTAACGAGTGGGCATCTGTCTGTCTGACAGCAGTGTGAGGGCAGAGTCCTTGGCTTCCTTGTACTCTGTATGGCCTAGGGCAGGCTGTCTGGTGGTAAGCTGGCTTCCAGGAACGCTGCCTGTAAGAGAAATGAATAGCGTTCTAGTCTTTTAAATCTTCGTATTCCTCGGTGTGTCAGCTCCAAGTAAAAATGGGAATTGCAGGTGATAGCAGTGTACTGAGCAGTACTGGGCACGCACTTCATGCCTATTAACTCAGTGAATCCCACAATCACACTGACGTGGGTTATTCCCATTTGGTAGAGAAGGGAAAAGACACAGAGAGGTTAAGTACTTGACCAAGGTCGACATCTGGTGAGTGAGCAGACGGGGTTTAAACCGGAATTCGAACTCGGCGTATGAGCACTGCTCGCTGCCGGTTGCTGGCTGCTCCGGTGGAGAGGTTCCAAGGTTTCGGGATCATTTATCCCTTCCTATCCCCGGCCCGAGGGTTGCCCACGTGGATGATCTCGCGGGCTCTTCCCGCTCTGACACCCCCGCGTCTGGCTCCACCCTCTGCCTGCCCGCAGTTCGGCCCAGACACTCTTCAGAGCCTCTCTCGTCGATGACAAGCTCCCGGCTGCGCCCACGGCCGGGGCCCCGCGCCCACCTCCCGGTCTGCCGCCTTCCCGCAGAGCGCGCGCCTCCGGGGACACCTGTCCCCGGTCAGGGGGCTGTCGCCGCTCCTCGGCGCCGCCCGGCGCTCGCGGTGGAGCCCCAGCAGCCCTGGGCGGGAGGACGGCAGGGGGCCCACCGGGCCTGTGCACCTGCCCTGCTTACCAGGAGACTGCGGGCCGGCGAGCCGTGGGGACGCTGCGGAGGGCGCAGCGCGGGGCGCGCGCTGGGCGGGGCGTCTTGAAGGGCGCGGCCGAGGGGCGCGGGCGCAGCCGGAAGCTGGGGCGGGGCGCCCGCGCGGGATGCGGTGAAGGGCAAGCGGCGCGGCAGCGGCGGCTATGAGTGCCTCGGCGGCCACAGGGGTCTTCGTGCTGTCCCTCTCGGCCATCCCGGTCACCTACGTCTTCAACCACCTGGCGGCCCAGCACGAGTGAGTGGGTGCGCGCGGCGGGGGTCGGCGCGTCAGGAGCCCCAGCAACTTTTCAGAGGGGGCCGAGCCGCAAACTGCAGGGCAGCGGTTCGCCGGCCTCCAGGGCTCCCCGCGGGCGGCCGGAGGAGGGGAGGCGCCCAGAGTCGTGCGGGCCGGGGTCCTCGCTTAGGCTGGCATCCCTGACATTCGGCGCAATTCTGGGGGCAAGTGTTGGGCGTCCGCTCTGTGCCCGCCCCGTGCCAGGTATCCGGGGTTACAGAGGTCAATAAGACAATGCCCCTGCCCTTGAAGTGCCCAGGGGCAGGGGTGGGGCGGACACACACCGACAACTTGGGAGCTTGGTCTTATCTCAGGCTGTGCCTTGTTCGCATTTCTCAGGAACGTTTCCAAGTATGCACACACGCATACTTGTCATTTCGTATTAATTTTAGAAACTGTTGTGAATGACTAGCAGAAATAGCCCAGAACGAACAGGCAAAGACCTGGGTTCTAGGCCTGGCTTTGGTACTAACCGTGTGGCCCGGCCTCAGTTCTCCTGTCTGTCAAATGGCCTATATTTGCATCCTATTGTCGGGATCCAAAAAGCCATAAGGGCGCAGTGTTGTGTAGGATGGGCAGCGAAGCAGAGAGGCAGGGCAGTTCCATGCTAAGGAAATGGGTGGGGCTGAAGGAGGCCGCATATGGATTTGGTTCAAAGCCCTGCCTCTCTTCTGTGAGGGACCCCTGGCCAAGCAATGGGCACCAGTCAGCAGCCAGCCTGCTCCCGCAGTGGGAAGGGTGCCAGACAGACCTCCGGCCTGCTGATGTTCTTGCTATCTGTGGGGAAGAGGAAGTAAACCTGTTATGTTTCCCACAGCAGTTGGTGCTAAGGAAATTGCATCAGTCTGTATGCTGCAAACCCCCTCCAGACCTTCAGGCTGTAGAGAAGTGTCTGCCCACAGGGCGGTGACTTGCTCCTCTCTTGTTCCTGGGGCTACCACTTGCTGACAGCCTTATCCAGATGGCACCCATCCATACTGAGTGCTCCCTAGGCATGGGCGGTGACAGCCCTTGGTCTGACCCAGTCTTGGGGCACAACTCCTGGAAGAAGCATCTCTGGGCAGTGAATGTCACATGTCTGTGAATATAGTGCATGGAGGACCCTGCCCTCCTAAAATAGCATTATGGGCAGTTCAGCAAATATTTATTGAGTACATATTCTATGCTTGGCACTGGGGAAATAGCTATGAACAAACCACAAGAGATTTGGGAGGCATGTGTTGAGATAGACATCAGCACAGAAAATGGGGTGACATGAGAGTGATGGGGGGGACTGGTGGTCAGGGAAGGCTTCTTGGAGGAGGTGACTTGAGCTGCAGGAGGTGGCCACGGGAAGATCTGGGAACAGAGCTTTCCAGGTAGGGGATCAGGGAGCAGTGCAGGGAGAGGGATGTGGCTGGGTGCTGGGATATTTGGGAGGGAGGGCAGTGCAGCTTGTTGAAGGATCACATGGCATGGAGAGGATCTGAGGATGACTGAGATTTTGGCCTCAGCCACTGGGAGGATGGTGATGGCATTTACTGAACACATGGTGAATTATGTATTGTTATGTATTGTTGAGCACATTGCTAAGCCCTGCAGAGTTTGGAATAATTGGTTCCAATCATTCTTCCTGTCCTCCTTCCTGCAGGTTAAAATCCCAGTAGCCTTTGATTCCTCCCTCTTCTTTCTCCACTCCTTCCCTCCAGCCCTCCCACTGTCTCCTTCCCCCTAATTCCCCGGGGCTGGGCTAGAATGTTTCCTCCTTCCTGTTCCCCTGGCACTGGCCCTCTCTGGCCCAGCCCATGGCAAAGCCTCCCACGGGAGGTCCCCTTCCTGCCCCAGTGCCTTGTGCATTTCTGCCTCAGCCCACCAGCCCAGCCCACTGTGCTGGTGCTTCAGCCACAGGGGACTGTTCTGTGCCCCTAGGACACTCCTTAACTTTCCCACCTCCTCGCCATTGCTCACACTGTTTTCTCTGATGGGGCTGCCTTCCTCCCTGTAGCTGACTGTTGAAGCCACACCTGGGCTTTATTGCCCAGAGGAAAATGCCACCTCTTCCTCTTCCAGGTCCTTCCAAGCAGATGTGATCTCTCCCTCCTCTGAGCCCAGCTGGGTTGTGCTCTTCCCACAAGAGTTACTTTCCTGTGGTCAGAACTTACCTTCTCAGGCCATAGCTCCCCTTAGTATTGTCATTAGTTGACTTAGTTGAAGCTTCCTTCCCACCAGACCTTTTACAAAAGCCTGAAAAACAGAAAAATCAAATTAAGTCGAGGAGTCAGAAAAGGGTGGGATCTCTTTCTCTGTCACACACAAATACACACACACACACACACACACGCACACACAAACACTCTGCTCATACTCACCCATACATGACCCCTCTCAGTAGCTGTCTGTTCATGGAAGGGCATCAGAACTCCCCGCCCCCCCATCCCAAAACACACACACATTCCAAGACTAACAACATTTCCACCCTTGGGTTAGTGGCAGCCCTTACCCCTCCCCCCACACCCCGAGTCCCTGCTGGATCCATTTCTCCCTGTTCTGAGCAGGTCCTGGGCTTGGCTGTCACTAGGAGACACAGGTGATCTGTTGCCCCAGTTTCTCTTCATTTTTTGCTCCTCCCCCAGAGGTGGAGAGTGCGAGAGGACACCGTGAACCAGTTCACACTGCTCTCTCATAGTCCAGAAGAGCACCAGCTGTGTGAGCCTAGGTCCTTGGTAGGAGCAGGGATGGGAGTTGTCTCCTGGCCACTACCTGTCTCAGGTTGTGAGTAAAATGTCTGTCAGCTTACATCACACACCTGTGCTCTTCCCTCTTCACCGGAGGCTTCAGCCCAGCATCATGTTCCTCACCCACATTAGCTTCCTCTTCCATCCTTTCCTCCTTTGTCTCATGCCTGCAGGAGGAGCCTGGGGCATCCACTGATGTGCACCGCTAGAAACCTCCTATTTCAGTCTCTTACCTGGTCACTGACATGGTCACCCTCATTCTTATCATAGAACTATGTCATCCGTTCACCATCCGTCCATCCACCCATCCATCCACCGTCCATCCATCCATCCATCCATTCATCCATTCACCATGCATCATCCATCCCTCCACCCACCACCCATTGTCTGTCATCCATCCAACTATCCATCCATCCATCTACCATCCATCCACCCGTCCATCTATCCATTTCTCCTTCCTTTCTTCCTCTCCCTTTCCTTCCCTCCCTCATTCATCCGTCAATTCCTGAACACCTTAAGAGAGGTCCTGAGGCAGACTTTCTGTGATACTCATCCTGGTTTCTTGAAAAAGGTTGCACGTTCCCATACCCCACCCCTGAAGTATTCTGATTCTGTAGGTCTAGGGTGGCATTTGGAAATCTGGGCGCTGCTGACGCCCAGAGCCCCCTCCTTTACTCTTAAGTGGGTTCTGGGGCCAGGTGCTGGGGACACAGCTTTCCTGGACCTGGGGCCAGTCTCCTTGGGGTCCATCTACCTGCAAGTAGTTGGATCACTTCCTGACTGACCTCTCTGACATTAGGGGCAGATTTCTAACTGGTGCCTAGCACCCATTCCAGCTGTAGGTGTGTGGAGTGAACCTCAGATATTAGTAGGTATTGGTGGGCTATGAAGGATACTTTCCAGAAGTCCCGGGGCATGTGGCAAACGTTATCCAAAAGTCCTCTGTGATGGTGTGGAGGGCTCTTGGCTAAGGAGTGGTGCTTGCAGCAGCTCTCGAGGGCTACTGAGGAGTGTAGCAGGCCATGGGAGTGGGCCAGGTGGTGCTTTGTCTAGAACTGGATGCCTTGTTGGTGTGGAGGAGTGAGAGAGAGAACATCTCTTAGGACCAGAGGTAGCCTTCTGGGTGAGAGAGCTCAGAGCCTATTGAGATAGGTTCCCCCCATGTAGACAGGGATCTCTTTTTCATCCACAGTGCCTGGCACATAGGGGTGTGCAATGCATTCTCCCTCAATATGTTTTTTAATGAATTAAAGAACAGATGATGAAATGACATGATGTTCCTAAGGTCACACAGGGAGTGGCAGAGTAGGTACTAGACTCCAGGTCCCTTGACTGCTAACTCCACCAAGCCTCGTGCCCTAGTGCTGTCCTGCTGAGGAGGGGCTTTGGTCCCCAGTCTCCTTGGTGCCATGCCCTTTCCCAGGAGAAAGACCAGGGGCTATGCCCAACCTAGCCTCACCCTGGCTTCCTGGGTATGGGGTTGCATGCTGGCTTGGCTTCCTGGGTGTTGGGGGGCTGGCATCATTCTGGCCTTAGGCCCGGCCTAGGCTCTTCCCTCCTTGGATTGGCCTCGTTCTCTGGCCCCTTTGATTATACACACAGCCTGTGGCTTGTCCACCGAGAAGGTGTATGTAGTTGTGACTCCTGTGTGTTCCCTGGAGCTCAGTCTGAGGGTTTCCAGCTGGCCCTGAGAGAGGAGGCAGATTCAGTGGTTAGACCTGTCAGACACTGGGAACAGGGCTTGGAGGAGCAGGTGGACAGAGGCAGCGGGACGCAGCAGAGCGCAGCAGAGGGCACTCGGACACATGGTTCACCCAGGTGGGCAGGATGACAGGAGAGTGAGGACCTAGTACCTCTGGTCCCTGAAACTCACAGGGGCAGCCCAGAGGGGCCCAAATGCTGCGGATAAACTTCATGAACTCCACAGTGCTTGAGGGATAGGCAGAGGCAGAGCTGCAAGAGAATGCATTCAATAGCCAGGAAATTCCATGCACCAGTGTGTTTATTTTGATAAGTGACCACCTCCCTGTTCTGGTCGTTACAGTTCCTGGACAATTGTAGGGGTGGCTGCCCTTATCCTGTTCCTGGTAGCCCTATTGGCTCCCGTCCTGGTCAAAAGGAAACCACCCCGGGACCCACTGTTCTATGGTACGTCTCCATGGGAGGGAAGCACTTTGTGTCCACTTAAGAGCACAACACTGGGGCCTCAGTCTCTTTACCTCTGTGGTTG